AGCAGGTCGAGGCTGCGGTGGCTGGGAGCGGCCACTGCACGCCAGTCTGGGCGACAGAGTAAGACTCCAAATCAAAAAAATGAAAAAATAAAAAATAAAGCCATGACCTTCATCTTCTTGTTTAGCTTTGCTTTTGGTTTTTAATTTTAAAATGTCATTCAACTTTTTTACCTACAAAATCAATATATTCTCACTGTAGATAATATAGAAATATAGTATAAAGCAGGTATAGAAAATACTCATAATTCTATTACCCAGAGGAAATCTGTTATCTTTGTATGTTCTCTTTCAGTTTTCTCTCTTTCTCTGCACACACACAGGCACACATACGCACACACACACACACACACACACACACACACACACACACACACACACAGTTGATTCTTCTTATTTGCCATAGTTGTGGTCTATAAAGTTATTGTGAACACTACATTAGCAACTACTGAACCACTGTTCCTGGGCACAATATTTTCATTAACCGATCAGTATATAACCTTGTTTTATATGTGTTTGCATTAAAGACACTTTAATATATATTGTTGATTTGTTAACATTGAACTCACAGCCAAGAGAACTGTAATTCATGTCTGAACAAAGCTTACACGTGTATTTTCTTGGTGAGGTACATCACAACCTTCTTGTACTCAGAAACACAAGCACTTCAGCACAACGCTTGGTGGCCTTGTTAGTGAAATCACCAGCAAAAATGCACAAATATACAAAAAACATGGCACTAAATAGACTGTGAAAAGAATGTTTGTTTACGATATCAGAGCAGAAAAAACAAGGCAGACTTCAAAAATGCCCCGAATATTGATTTTGATGTTAAAAATTGTTGTGAGTAAGCAAATTCACAAATATGTAATTCACAAATAATGAGGAGTCACTGTGTGTGTGTGTGTGTGTGTGTGTGTGTGTGTGTGTAGTCTTATCATTTATGAACTTTAGTTTGTTGATGCTTGCAGCTGTGGTTCATTCATTTTTACTCCTGTATAGTCTATTGTATGGATATACCATGTACTTACCCATTGTATTGTAGGTGGCACATTTGAGTTGTTTCCAGCATTTTAGCTATTATAGTATTCTGAATTTTTTTTTTTGAGTTGGAGTCTCACTCTGTCACCCAGACTGGCCGGTCCCGGCCACCGCAGCCTCGACCTGCTGGGCTCCGGCGATCCTTCCGCCTCACCCTTCCGAGTAGCTGGAACTACAGGCGCACACTACCACACCCAGCTGATTTAAAAAAATTTTTTTTTTGATTTGGAGTCTCACTCTGTCGCCCAGACTGGAGCATGCAGTGGCCGCTCCCGGCCACCGCAGCCTCGACCTGCTGGGCTCCGGCGATTCTTCTGCATCAGCGTCCAAGTAGCCGGAATTACAGGCATGCACTACCACGCCCGGCTGATTTTTTAATTTATTGTAGAGATGAGGTCTCGCTGCCCAGGCGGGTCTCGAACCCGCGGGCTCAGGCAATCCACTCACCTCAGCCTCCCAAAGGCGCGGGATTACAGGCTGAGCCACCGACCCTGGCTGAAATGAGATCTTAATAGTTCTCAAGACACACTCTGTCTTTCCACTTTCATGCTTTTCTGCATCCCTTTGAAATTTGTCACCTTCTAACCTTCTGCTTCTACTGAAATTCTAGCCAGCCTTTACATCACAGCTGCAAAACTTCAACCAGTCTCCTAGATCATGAGATTTCCCAGATCTCCCACAATGCCCTCTTGTGGTACTGACTGCATTCTGGTTTTGGGGGGGGTTGTTTTGTTTTTTTTTAAGTTGCAAAGTCTTGTGTGAACCCTGCTGGAGTTCACAGGTGCTATCATCACACACCACAACCTCTAACTTCTGGACTCACACGATCTTCCCACCTTTGCCTCTCTAGATGTACTGGGATTACATGTGTGAGCCATCGCTGCTGGCTGCATTCTGCTTTTTTTTTTTTATTTTTTTGAGTTGGAGTCTCACTCTGTCGCCCAGACTGGAGTGCAGTGGCCGCTCCCGGCCACCGCAGTCTCGACCTGCTGGGCTCCGGCGATCCTTCCGCCTCAGCCTTCCAAGTAGCTGGAACTACAGGTGCGCGCTACCACGCCCGGCTAATTTTTTTTGATTTATTGTAGAGATGAAGTCTCGCCAAGTTGCCCAAGCGGGTCTTGAACCTGTGGGCTCACGCAATCCACTCACCTCAGCCTCCTAAAGTGCGGGATTACAGGCTGAGCCACCGAGCCGGCTTAGTGAAGTATTTTTAGAGACATAAGTTTGTGGGTTTTTTTTTTTTTTTGAGTTGGAGTCTCACTCTGTCGCCCAGACTGGAGTGTGCAGTGTTCACTCCCGGCCACCACAGCCTTGACCTGCTGGGCTCCGGCGATCCTTCGCCTCAGCCTTTCGAGTAGCTGGAACTACAGGTGCGTACTACCATGCCCAGCTTATTTTTGATTTATTGTAGAGACGAGGTCTCGCCAAGTTGCCCAGGCGGGTCTCGAACCCGTGGGCTCAGGCAATCCACTCACCTCAGCCTCCCAAAGGTGCGGGCTTACAGGCTGAGCCACTATTCAAGGTATTTTCAGCTTTATGTTATTAGAAATAGTTCTGTAGTAAACATCTATAAGATAAGTTTAAGTGGAATTGCTGAATTGCCCTCTGAAAGGTTGCATTAATAGATACGCATATCACAAGTGTATCAGCATCTTTTAATAGTTATATATTTCATTACACGGACATAGTCTACCATGCCACTGAACCTGGACATTTATTTCAATCAAGCAAGTAAATAGGAAATAATAGTAATTGCTTACCTGCCACAATGTAGGTACTCTCATATTAAGAAAACAGTTAAATATTTCCTCCAATTCTTGGGTGAGGATGATCTCTCCTTTTATGGCAAGTTGAAGATCTTTTAAAGATTTATGTATGACAAATAATAACTTATCAAATCGTTCAATTTCTTGCTTCAAAAAGGTTAGCAAGACACAATGAATAAAGGTATCATGATCTGCATTTTAAAAAGAGATAAGATTTTGATATTTTACAGATTAAAAAGAGACTTTAGAGCCGGGCTCGGTGGCTCAGCCTGTAATCCTGCGCCTTTGGGAGGCCAGGTGAGTGAATTGCTTGAGCCTGTGGGTTCGAGACCCGCCTGGGCAACTTGGCGAGACCTCATCTCTACAATAAATCAAAATGAGTTGGGCATGGTAGCGTGCGCCTGTAGTTCCAGCTACTTGGAAGGCTGAGGCAGAAGGATCGCCGGAGCCCAGCAGGTTGAGGCTTCAGTGGCCGGGAGCGGCCACTGCACTCCAGTCTGGGTGACAGAGTGAGACTCCAACTCAAAAAAAAACAAACAAACAAGAGACTTTACATGGAGGGACATAGTTTTGAAAGTTAAAGGAATTTCATATCTTGACCAGGCATTAATAAACATTTTCCACAGAGGGTCAGATAGAAAATATTTTAGGGTTTGTGAACTCTCCCCCTGCAGTGTGAATGCCCCCACAGACAATATGCAAAGGAATAAGCATGGCTGTATTCCAACAAAGATTTATTTATGGGCACTCAAATTTCAATTTCTATACTATTTTTGTGTCACAAAGTATGATTTTTCTTTTGATTTTTTTCAACCATTAAAAAATGTGAAAGTCACTTTAGTTTGCAGGTTGTGCAAAAACAAATGGTAGGCTGGATTTGGCCTGTGAGCCCTAATCTGTTGATCCTTAATGGAGACTCAACAATGGTACTATTTTGATAAACTGTTGCTCAACATTTTGTTCTCAAATGAACTTTTTTAAAGGGCTAAGATATGGATGTTAAAATTTAACTGGGAAAATTACCACACTCTAGCAGTTTAGTCCTGGGCCTGGAACCAGCTCTGGGCAACCAGGCTTTCTCTGTCTTCCCTGCCTGCCCTGACTCTCCTGGGCTCTTCAGGATCAAGCAGTCTTCCAGCAGAGGGCTCATCTAAAGTTCAGTGCCCCAAATGCTGTTCCAGAAAGGAGAGCAGCAAAGAGAACAGCTATGAGAAGCTTGTTGGAATCTCCCAAGCAGAGTTGCTGCTTTCCAGTTTGCTGCAATTATTATTTCTTCACTTTCGGTCTCAGGGTCAAGCACCTCCCCACAACCCACTAAACTATTACTGCATGCTGACTTCCCCAATCTGATCATTATACATTGTATGTATTATTATTATTACTTTTTAGTTGGAGTCTCACTCCTTCACCCAGGCTGGAGTGCAGGGGCACCCATGCTCACAGCCACCCCTGGGTCGACCTGCTGGGCTCCAGCGATCCTTCTGCCTCAGTCTTCCGAGTAGCTGGAACTACAGACACGCTACCATGCCCAGCTATTTTTTAGTTTATTGTAGAGACGAGGTCTCCCCAAGTTGCCTGGTCTGGTCTTGAACCTCGGCCTCGTGGAGTACTGGGATTACAGGCTGAACCACCGAGCCCAGCCATATTGTATGTATTGAAACATCATTACATACGCCACAAATATCTATGATTATTATCTGCTCTCCCTCCCCCTACTTGGTGAGAGGAGGCAAAGACTTAGCTTTCCATTTTATCTCATATATATACATTTTACTGCTGTGGAACTTTTTGTCTTGTCTCTGCCTTCCTCTTAATGTCACAGTCCCTTCCCAAAGAGGTTGAGGTGAGGGGAAGAAGCTCCTGTCCCATGCTCACCTTTGCGGTTTTTAGCAAGAGACTCCCAAATGGGGCTTGACATCACACACTTCAATGTGCTTGGAGTTCCAGCAACACATTCTTCTTTCTCCACTGTCAGTGGCAGCCGCCTTAGCATATCAGATAAAATTGCCATCACCAGTTCATCATTGCTCTGCTCAGGTCTGCAAAAGAAATCATGAGAGGAATGAGGTACAGAGCGGAAGGGGGGTAGAGAGAAATTTGTTAAAGGATGCAAAATGACAGCTACCTAGGAAAAACAAGTTCTAGTATTCTATAGCACTTTAGGATAACTGTAATTAACAATAATATATCTTTTCAAATAGCTAGAAGAGAGAATATTGCATGTTACCAACAGAAAGAAATGATACATATTTGAGATGACAGACATGCTCAACTTCCCCACTCTGATCGCTATACATTGTGTGTACTGAAACATCACTATGTTTGCCACAAATATCGACAATTATTATGTGTCAATTAAAAAACAAATAAGCTGGGTTCGGTGGCTCAACCTGTAATTCCGCACTTTGGGAGGCTGAGGTGAGTGAATTGCCTGAGCCCGTGGGTTCGAGACCCGCCTGGGCAAATTGGCGAGACCTCATCTCTACAATAAATCAAAAATTAGGTGGACCTGGTAGCATGCGCCTGTAGTTCCAGTTACTTGGAAGGCTGAGGCGGAAGGATTGCCGGAACCCAGCAGGTCGAGGCTGCAGTGGCCGCGAGTGGTCACTGCACTCCTGTCTGGGCGACAGAGTGAGACTCCAACTCAAAAAATGAATGAATGAATGAATGAATGAATAAATAAATAAATAAAAATTAAAAATCAATCAATCAAGAGAAGAATGAGATACAGATCTGTCTAATCCAGGAGAGCCCTCTATTTAGGTCCCATCTGAAGGTAAACATATCTTCGCAGAACTGTAAAACTACAATATGCAAAATCTTATAGAGATTGTGGAGTTCATTTCATTTTATGAATGAGTGTGTTGGACAGTTTTCTCATCTGTAATGACATTTGTAAGGAAATATGTATTTAACAAGTTTTCTTAGAATTTCTTTGTAAAATATTCATCTGAATATGCATCTGCATGAAGAAAGTACCAAGACAAAGAAAAAAGCTGGGCTTGGTGGTTTAGTCTGTAATCCCAGCACTTTGGGAGGCGGAGGTGAGAGGATTGCCTGAGTCCACAGGTTTGAGACAGGCCTGGGCAACGTGGTGAAACCTCATCTCAACAATAAATCAAAAATTAGCCGGGTATGGTGGCGCGCATCTGTAGTTCCAGTTATTTGGAAGGCCGAGATGGAAGGATCACCTGAACCCAGCAGGTCGAGGCTGCGGTGGCTGTGAACATGCCATTGCACTCCAGTCAGGGCGACAGAGTGAGACTCCAACTCAAAAACAAAAAAGAAAAAGAAAAAAAAAGAGGCAATGAAAAAGAGGAGGCAACTAGACAGAGCATGCTTAGGCAGCCTTAAGGTCACTCAACTGCTTGCCAAATTCCTCTGTGTTTACACAAAGGGCCTCCTGATAACATGCTCAGTGGGTGGTGACAGGAAGATAGTGTGTGGACAGGTCTAGGTGAAGTTGTGATACTAAGCAAAACCACTAGACACTAGAGCTGGAAGAACTCTTTGGAATTCTTTCAAAGATGACAAAACCAGGTCCAGGGAGGTGAGAGGACCTCCTTAGACAGTTGGTGGGTGAGTAAGGAACGACACCCATCTCTTTTGAGGTTCCTCTCTCTGCTGTTCTATTTACTTGTAGGGACTGATTTTCAACAAATATCTCAGGTTTTATATATCCAAATGCACACCGTCCTTCAAAGTATGCGACAGCCCTAAAACTCCCACCATGTCTTTAGCCCAAAAGTGCTGCGTTTGAGCAGTTTATAGATCACCGGAGGCAATACATCTCCTTGTTTTGTTGTCACACTTTGTTTTTGACTTTAAAGTGAGGTTTCTTGGTAGAATTCATCCAAGGTGGCTCTAAATAATTCAAAAGATGTCAAATTCAAACTTACCTTCAAAGGGCAAAAATTTCCTACCATGGAGGACATTAAATTGAATGTGGTAGATTTTTGAGTTAAGCCCCACAGACAAGATTCTAATAAACAAAAGCAGCATGACTAGGATAATTATAACCACCCAAAATGACCAAAGGGATATTAATAAACATATTTGATAAATTTATTTAAAGCATTTCTTTATAATCATCTCATCTCACACTAATGCTAACAGTAATAATGCTAATGCTAACAGTGTAATGCTAACAGTATAGAACTAATTTTTAGAAGTGTAGGGTCTACAGGAAATTCAACCTGATATTATGGGGACTTGCTGGGGGTTTCCAATAGGGTACTCTTCTTTCTTCATATGTGCAGCTTTCCTTACATGTAAGAGATAGCATATATATATTCACTCAGTTAGTGTAATGAGAGTTCAATTGTCTCTATATTGTGTCAGTAGAATAACTTGGAAGATATGTCCAAATAGTCAGCCAGAGCTATAAGCCGAAGCCAGGGGTCAATAAGATGTCATTTTAATAAGTTGTATGGTCCAGCCGGGCTCGGTGGCTCAGCCTGTAATCCCGTGCCTTTGGGAGGCTGAGGTGAGTGGATTGCCTGAGCCTGCGGATTCGAGACCCACCTGGGCAGGCGAGACCTTATCTCTACAATAAATCAAAAAAATTACGGGTGGTAGCACGTCGTTCCAGCTACTTGGAAGACTGAGGCGGAAGGATAGCTGGAGCCCAACAGGTTGAGGCTGCGGTGGCCGGGAGCAGCCACTGCACTCCAGTCTGGGCGACAGAGTGAGACTCCAACTCAAAAAAAATGTTGTATGGTCCAAAGAGACAGAAAGACTGTAAGAGGATGCAGAATTCCAATGGGCTCAAAGACTTTAGAGGTACGTGGAAACATTCTGCGTGTATCTTAAGAGCCAAAGAAATGTAAAATACAATTTGTGAGTACACAGAAGTACTAGGTAATGTATACTTGAAATCCAGGGATGTAGATGATGTGACCATCATCTTATAGAACTGTGTGGTTTTTGCTACCTTAACAACAACAGTTTTAACAATAAACAGGATTCAGGACATCCTATTAGTGTTGTCAACAAGAATTAACTCATCAATTCTCCATTTAGTTTAGTTTATTTATTTTTGGGGGGTTTGTTGTTGTTGTTTGTTGTTGTTTTCAGTTGAGGTCTTTGTTGCCCAGGTTGCAGTGCAGCGGCATGCTCACGGCCATTGCAGCCTTCACCTGCTGGAATCAGGTGATCCTTCCTCCTTAGCCTTCCAAGTTGCTGGAACTACAGGCATGTGCAACCACACCCAGATAATTTTTTGAATTACTGTAGAGATGAAGTCTCACCAAATTGTCTAGGCTGGTCTTTAACCCATGGGCTCAGGCAGTCCTCTTAGCCCTGCCTCCCAAAGTGCTGAGATTATAGGCGTGAGCCACCGCACCTGGCTATTTGGTTTTTTTTTCAACCTCAAGCAAACTGAGAAGGCGATTTCAAAAATCATGCAAAGAGATAAGAATTTTCAACTCTGGGAAGATTTAGAAGTAGCGACAGATATATTTAACAGAATCAAAACCATTGTAAAAAGATTTTTGTGTTCTATGCAAGTTGGTATTTTAAATATTTGTAATGTTTAAGAGAACTGGGCCCCAAGCCGGGCTTGGTGGCTCAGCCTGTAATCCCAGCACTTTGGGAGGCTGAGGTGAGTGGATTGCCTGAGTCCGTGGGTTCAAGACCCACTTGGGCCACTTGGCGAGACCTCATCTCTACCATAAATCAAAAGATCGGCAGGGCGTGGTAGCGCGCGCCTGTAGTTCCAGCTACTTGGAAGGCTGAGGTGGAAGGATCGCTGGAGCCCAGCAGGTCGAGGCTGCGGTGGCCAGGAGCGGCCACTGCACTCCAGTCTGGGCGAGAGTGAGACTCCAACTCAAAAAAAAAAGAGAACTGGGCCTCAACACCTGAAAGGTCAGTCTTGTGACTCCAATTTAAAAGAGGTAATTGAGAAATTAATTCATGATTTAAAGTTAAACTCTAGTTAAATTGATATAAAATATTGGATAATAAGCTATTTTAAGATTCACTATATTTATTTGATAAGTCCTTAGATTTATAAAAGTTATTAAGACTTGAGAAGGGGAGCAATGACTCACGCCTGTGATCCTAGGATTTTGGGAGGCCCAGGTGAGAGGAGTGCTGAGCCCAAGAGTTCCAAGACAGGCCCAGGCAACTTGGCGAGACCTTGTCTCTACAATAAATCAAAAAATTAGCTGGGTATGCCTCTAGTCCCAGCTACTTGGAAAGCTGAGGCGGAGGGATCATACGAGCCCAGCAGGTTGAGGTTGTGGTGACTGTGAGCATGCCACTGCACTTTAGCAGTGAGAGACAGAGTGAGACTCCAACTCAAAAAAAAAAAAAGAAAAAGAAAAAGAAAAAGAAAAAAGGAAAAGAAGGACTTGAGAAGGTCTGGCAGACAGGCAGTTGAAGTATATGAATATTATAGTGAATATTAATATATTTGAAAATGTTTGATTATGTTTATAAATAGGGCTAGACATTATTCAAAGACATTTTAAAAGTGATTGTTAAAATTTATTAGACTTACAAATTGAAAAATTAGAACTTAAATATATAAGGAACTCATTGTGCTCCTAGAACAGCCCTTTGAGGAAGGTGCTATTATCTCTGGTTTAGAGTTGAGGAACCTGAGACAAAGAGTTACTTGATTTCCATGAGTGCACAAAGTCAAGTGATGGAGCTGAGACGGAAACCCAGGCATAGTGAAGAAGGCAGAGAGAAAGAACATGCATGCATGTGTTCCCTATTTCCTGAGCAGATATGAACAACACGCTAGGAGGTGTTTAGAAATAGCTGGAGCATATTTTGCGGTGGAAGAAAGAGTGTGATTAGCCATTCGGCAATCAAGTCATTGAGGGTTTCAAGCCATATGGTTCTGGCATTAACAAGTACGATCTTATTTTATAGTCACAGGCTGGGGAGGCCTGGGAATTTGGGTATGCATGACACCATTTGAACTTCACAATAGCCTTGATGGGTAGACAGTTGTATCTTCATAGATAAACAAAGATACTGAGGCAGTGTGACCTTGGATACAGAGCTAACAGAGGTGTAATTCACACAGGCTTCTCAATGCAGGGCTAGTTCTTGACCACATGGTTTTTTTGGTTATTAGGTTGGTCCTGTCCTATAGTAGTATACACATTTCACATTTAAACAAATTTGTTTTGAAAAACCACTCACCAGGTACAATTCAGTCATTCTTTTTTTAAAATTTTAATTTTAATTAAAAAAAAATTTTTTTTTGAGTTGGAATCTCACTCTGTCACCCAGAATGGAGTGCAGTGGAACGCTCCCAGCCATTGTAGCCTCGACCTACTGGGCTCCAGCGATCCTTCCGCCTCAGCCTTCCAAGTAGCTGGAACTACAGGCGCGTGCTACCCCATTCGGCTAATTTTTTGATTTATTGTAGAGATGAGGTCTCGCCAAGTTGCCCAGGTATGTCTTGAACTCACGGGCTCAGATGATCCACTCACCTGGCATCCCAAAGTGCGGGATTACAGGCTGAGCCACCGAGCCCGGCTTAGTCATTCCTCTAACAAAGAATTATTAACTACTGCATGCTTGGTGATTAGGTATATGTGTGTATCTGTGTGTCTACTTGCTTCTGTATCGTATGGATGATTCAGTTTCTTTACCCTTCAGGCTCCATTTTTTCTACAAGTTGTATACTGTATCTCTTCAAATTAATTTTTAATAACTTTTGACCAATAATTTTTCCTAGTGAGTCCTTACCTGATCATGGGTGTGGCATTGGTGGTTCTTGGTTGCATGGCAATGAGATTTTCAATAAACTTCTGGCTCTGGGTCTCCCTGCAGCTCCTTATGGCCTCTGGGTGTATTCCTAAGACCTCCGGAGGGTCATCATCAGGTAAGGACTGGATAATGCATATGTAATCCTTTATGCTTGCAGATTTTGGCACTGGCTGACGTATCTGCAAATGTAACACTTGATTAGTTTTCTTTTCTTCAATCTTGCTACTTCTGAACACGTTTTAGTTTTTGTAATACTGAAAGTTAAGAGACGTCATTAAAAACGAACATTAAAATTTACTTAAATACATATTTTAAATAATGCAGCAACGTTTAGTTATCAATAATTGAATAATATAAGAAGAATTATTTTCTTACCTCGTCACCATAGAAACTGAAGTCATCTTTCATTACTTCAGGGTTGCAAAATTTGTAGAGCAAGGTCTTCAAGCATCGCTTGTCCCAGTTATCAGTCACCTGGCCACCATAAGTCACTTCTCCGATGAAGTAGCGCAGTGCTGGCCATGGAACATGGAACTGTCCCTTCAGGGCATTTTCCAACACCTTAATGGCAACCTTTAGAAAACCCACAAGTGGTTATTATTTCAGTGCATGTTTTCAGATTACTTGGACTTCTTAACACAAAATCAGGTCTCAAGCAGCGACATATATTTCCTCCTAAAAATATATATGGAAATAGCAAACGGAATAAAAATATTGGGACATTCACTTTTATCAACGAGTTCTTTTTTATTATTGTTGAACAGATAACGAACTACTTAATAGCGATGACTTCTTTGAATAGGAAAAACAAGCACATGGTACTGAATTCAAAAGGTACAAAAAGATAAACAAGGGAAAGTAAGTTTTCTCTCACTTCCTATTTTAGATATCAGTTCCCCTTCCTTGAGGTATCACTGGTAGCGATTTCTTGGGTGTCCTTACACAGATATCCTGTGTAACTACTGCACATCAGTTGACTTCGGTCCTTTTTCTCTCCCTGCTTTCCCTCCTTCCTTTCTATTCTCTTTCTGTCCTTAACTCTCTCTCTCGTCCCTCCTTCCTTCCCTCTACCTTTTTGTTTTCCTGTCTTCAATTTCTTGCACAAATGCTAAACTAGCATACACACTGTCCTGCAATTGGACAGTATAGCTTGGCTGTCATTCAGTGGCTGGGACAATTCATATTTCGACTAACAGTTTGTGAAATAATTATTTGTCACCGTTCTCTCATCCGTGCCACTAACAGAAAATGTTGGTTTATTTCATTTTTGCCAGTTTGATAGGTGACTGTTCAATTTGTATTTCACCTGGTACTGTTTGAGTATCTTTTCTTATGTCTGTTGGTCATTGAGATTTGAACTTGTATATATTGGCTAATTTTCCTTTGGATTGTTTGTCTTTTTCTTGTTAATATGTAAGAACTCTTTGTATACAATAGATACTAACTCTCTGTCAGTTATTTATATTAAATCTGTTATTTGCTTATTGGCTTTATTTTGTCACCATATACAATTTTTGTAAGCAAATCTACCTATCTTTTCTTTTATGGTTCTGGGTTTCCAATTTTGGTTAAGCTGTTTCCAACTCCAAGATTGTACATGTAATCTCTTAGATATATTTTGAATATCTGTATTGTAGTATAGTACATTTAAATTTTGTTGCATTCTGGAATTTATTTTTAAATATGACATAAGATAAAATGACCAGTAATTTTCTTCCAGCTGAATGGCCAGTTGTGCCATGTCATTTACTCTTTAAAAATCCCTTTACTGAGTTGAAATACCATCTGTGTCAAATACCAAAATTTCATAAAAACTTGGATTTATTTCTGCATTCTCTACGATATCCCGTCAATTTATTGTCCACTTCTCTACCAGACAATATTGATTTCCGTCTAGTGGATTTTTACTATGTTTTGATATTTGGTGAAAGAAACCTCTTTCATTACTTTTCTTTTTTGTACATTTCTAGCTTATTCTTCAGCATCTTCTTTCGCAGGAAATTCATCAATTCCAAAACTTCCTAATAGGATTTCGATCAAAACTGCATTATACTTATTATTCATTTTGGAAGAATTGATAGTTATGATATGGGAAACCTACCCATAAAAGCCATAGAGGCATTTATTTAGGGAAGGTAGGACTTAGAAAAATTGAACCATGGAGTCAGGCTACCGCTTATTAGCTGTGCAACTTAGGCAAGTTTCTCAGTTGCCCTATGTTTCTATTTTCCTGTCTGTAAAATGAAGATAATTAGTGTACTTACCTCATAACGTTGTTGTGAGAATTAAATAATTCACACAAAGCAATCAGAATATTTTAAGCTCTCAACAAATATTATTCCTCTTTTTTTCTCTCTAACTTACAATGTTCTTCATCTAGGACCCACACATTTCTTGTTAAATTTGTTCTTGAGTATTTAAAATTTTCATCACTATTGTGAAAGTACTGTTTTCGCTATTCCATTTCTAGGTGTCTGTTGCTAGAGAAATGCTATGGATCTTTATATATTCGTGTTTTTGACCAGTCACTTTACCAAAATTCTTTAATTATTAGATTTTTAAAAAAACAAATCCCAGATTTTCTAGAGATACAATTATATCATCAACAAAAAGACAGTTTTCTCTTTTTTTACAGTGTTAATATGAATTATGTAATTTTCTCATCTCACTGCAATTACTAGAACTTCTAAGATGATGTTAAATGATAATGGTGATAACGAGCATCCTTGTCTGATTTTTCTTTGTTTTTCTTTTTCTTTTTCTGTTTTTTTTTGAGTCGGAGTCTCACTCTGTTGCCCAGACTGGAGTGCAGTGGCCACCGTAGCCTCGACCTGCTGGGCTCCGGCGATCCTTCCGTCTCAGCCTTCGGAGTAGCTGGAACTACAGGCGCGCGCTACCACGCCCAGCTAATTTTTTTGATTTATTGTGGAGATGAGGTCTCGCCAAGTTGCCCAGGCGGGTCTCGAACCTGCGGGTTCAGGCAATCCACTCACCTCGGCCTCCCAAAGTGCTGGAATTACAGGCTGAGCCACCGAGCCCGGTTGATTTTTTATTTTTTAAAATTTATTTATTTATTTATTTATTTTGAGTTGGAGTCTCATTCTGTCGCCCAGACTGGAGTGCAGTGGCCGCTCTCGGCCACCGCAGCCTCGACCTGCTGGGCTCCGACGAACCTTCCGCCTCAGCCTTCCAAGTAGCCGGAATTACAGGCATGCGCTACCATGCCCGGCTGATTTTTTGATTTATTGTAGAGATGAGGTCTCGCTGCCCAGGTGGGTCTTGAACCCGCGGGCTCAGGCAATCCACAAACCTCAGCCTCCCAAAGGCATGAGATTACAGGCTGAGCCTGGCTGATTTTTTATTTTTATTAGAAACAATTTCAGTATTTGACTATTTAGAATAATATTCACTATTTTTTTGATAATTTTTCTCACATTTAGGTAGTTTCTTTTAATCTTATTACCTTAGAGTTTTTTATTAAGAATGACTCCAAAATTCATAATAAATATCTTTTCTACACCTATTGAGATTATAATATAAATTAGGATTTTTAGATTTTCAATTATTAGGCAATTCTTGCATTTTTGGACTACACTCAGCTTGGTCATTGTGTATTATTCTTTTGATTCATTGCTGAAATCTATTAAAACTTAATATATAGCTGAGGTGAGTGGATTGCCTGAGCCCGTGGGTTCGAGACCCACCTGGGCAACTTGGCGAGACCTCATCTCTACAGTAAATCAAAAATTAGCCGGGCATGGTAGCATGCTGAGGCGAAGGATCGCCGGAGCCCAGCAGGTTGAGGCTGCGGTGGCCGGGAGCAGCTACTGCACTCCAGTCTGGGTGACAGAGTGAGGCTCCAACTCAAAAAACAAAACAAAACAAAACAAAAAACTTCATATATAATTTTTATATTTTAAATTCTAAGTAAAATTAGTCTATAGTTCTTTTGTATATACCCCTTATCAGGTCTTCATGTTAAAGTTATATTGGTTTCATAAAATACAACATTCTAGCTTATTCTTCAGCATCTTCTTCCACAGGAACTGCCATTTTGTTCTGAAGTCCAGAATACTTTAAATAATATATTAATATTATCTGTTTGTTAAAGTTCAGAGTGAACTAAGCTGTGAAACCATCTTATTCTGGTATCATGCACAACGCCTTTTATAGAAATTGCTCTACTCAAAATTTCCATTTCTTTTTAAGTCAATTTTGATAACTTATTTTTTTCTAGGAAACCATCAGCTTTGATGGTTTTTATTTTATTTGTCTTATTAAAAATCAATTTTTAAATTTATTTTTCCTTTTTTACTATTTTTTGTATGTTCATTAATAATAGCTTTTATATTTACTCTTTATTCTTTTTGGTTCCTTTTGTTGTTTTCTAATTTCTTAAGATGATTATTCACTTCCTGTATTTCTTCTTTAATAATGAAGACATTTAAGATCATAATTTGTTTCTTCCTGAGTGTAGCTTTTATATTGCCACGTCATTTTGGTATGAAGTAGTTTCACTTCCTCTGTGTTTGAGATGTTTTGTTATTTCCCTTTTAATATCCTCTTTGATAAAATGTTATCTAGAGGTATGTTTCTTAAGTTGTTAAGATTTGGGCGGGATCAAATTATTATCATTATTATTATTATTATTATTATTATTATTTTTGAATTGGAGTCTCACTCTGTCGCCCAGACTGGAGTGCAGTGGTCGCTCCTGGCCACTGCAGCCTCGACCTGCTGGGCTCCGGCGATCCTTCCGCCTCAGCCTTCCAAGTAACTGGAACTATAGGCGCGCACGACCACACCCAGCTAATTTTTTTATTTATTGTAGAGATGAGGTCTTGTCAAGTTTCCTAGGTGGGTCTCGAACCCGCGGGCTCAGGCAATCCACTCACCTCAGCCTCCCAAAGGCGTGGGATTACAGGCTGAGCCACCGAGTCTGGTAAATTTTTCTTATTTATTAGATTGTGATCAGAGAATGTGACTCATAAAATCATTAAAGATTTTTCTTTGTGGCTGTGCTCATGACTAAATTTTATGACAGTTCCTTGGATATCTGACAAAATATGTGCTTTTTACTGGAGGAATGTTAGTCTCTAGATACATCTGTTAATCAAGTTTGTTGACTATATTATTCTATTCTTTGTCTTATTCTTGCTTATAAGAGCTGTCCAATCCTGATGGAAGTTTATTGAAATTTCCCATAATAATTACATATACATACATATATGTATATATATATGCCACAGTATGCTATTGTCTGAACATAGAGATCATATAGTGCAATGACTGAGAGTACAAACTCTGAAGCTAGATCATCTATGTCTGAATTATGTCTATTCTGCTTACTAATTAAGCAAGTTTCCTAGCCTCCTTGGACTTCAAGCAAAATGAGGATAATACTACCTTCTTTATAGGGTAGCTGTGAGGTTTAATTACTCCATAAAACACTTAAAACCATGCCTGAGAGTAAGCATAGAGAATAAACTCTATAAATGTTAATTATTTTCTTGACTGTTGTATATTCTTCTGTAAGTTGTTTCTTTTATTTGGTGTTTTTTCATCTGATATTTCTATTCCTGCCTTTTTTTCTATTTTTATTTTCTTGGTCGTTTCAAGCTTTCTTCATTAATTTAATTGTTTTTCTTATAAATTGCATCTGGGTTTTGTTTTGTAACCAAATATAATAGTCTTTTCTTTTAACAAGTGAATGCACAACATTTACATTTAATATAACAACTGATTACATTTCTTTCACATTGCTTTATGTCATTATTTATTTTACTTTGTTGCTTCTCTCCCTCTCTTTTATTTTCAATAGATTGATCGAATTGCTATTTATTTTCCTTTTTCTCCTTTGTTAATATAGACATTATACTGTCACCGTTATAGGTTACTTTTCCATTCCTTAAATTAATTTCTTTATTCAAATGAAAAAAAGAATTAAATTATTTTTCTAGCCGGGCTCGGTGGCTCAATTTGTAATCCCACACTTTGGGAGGCTGAGGTGAGTGGATTTCCTGAGCCCACGGGTTTGAGACCCACCTGGGCAACTTGGCGCAACCTCAGCTCTACAATAAATCAAAAAATTAGCTGGGTGTGGTAGCGCACACCTGTAGTTCCAGCTACTTGGAAGGCTGAGGCGGAAGGATCGCCAGAGCCCAGCAGGTTGAGGCTGCGGTGGCCGGGAGCAGCCACTGCACTAGTCTGGGTGACAGAGTGAGACTCCAACTCAAAAAAAAAAACAAAAATTTTTTTTCTACCCAAGTGTCTAGTATGTAGTACAAGTATTTCCTCCCAATATATTGTTTGCTTTTTGATTTAGCTTTGGATAAAGTCTGGACAGAAGCATACTTGAGCTCCATTCCTTAACAAATACCCAAAGTGCAGCTGTTTTATGTTATGTTCTGGTTAGGTGCGACTGAGCTAGCAGTATGTATAACAGACTATTGTGAAAACTGAAAAACATAATGGAGATATATAGAAGAAACAGAAGGCTACCCATCTAGGTGGGTCTATAGGCAGAATTAAGATTTTCCTCAAAATGGTTTTTAAAAAATTTGCTCTAAGGCCAGGTGCAGTGGCTCAAGCCTGTAATCCTAGCACTTTGGGAGGCTAAGGCGGGAGGATTGCCTGAGTCCAGGGGTTTGAGACCAGCCTGAGCAACTTGGTGAGACCGCATCTCTCCTATAATAAAAAAATAACCCGGGCGTGGTAGCCCGCACCTGTAGTTCCAGCTACTTGGAAAGCTGAGGGGGAAGGATCACCTGAGCCCAGCAGGTCGAGGCTGTGTTGGCCGTGAGCGTGCCACTGCACTCCAGACTGGGTGAAAGAGTGAGACTATAACTAAAAAAAAAAATTTTTTTTTTCTCTAACATATAAATGAACAGGTAATAAAGGGTGAAATGTTTTGTGCGGGAAGCACAATTACAAGAAAATTAACAGGGAAAAAAATTAAGCAAATGCTACTATGTGTCTACTTTAGCAATAAAGAAAACATCCTGCAATAAAGCACAAATAGAAGGTTCTGTATAGGAATAGTAAAGAAAGATGAGTAAGCTAAACTTTCTCCCTCACAATGGGTCCATGTAATCTCTCTCACTTTAAATGAGTAAGTTACACTGATAAACATTTTATAATATTCTACATGTGTCAGACTCTGTTCCAAGAGCTTTACATATATTAACTAGTTTGCATATTGCAACAATCCTTTGGAATTGGTACTAACATTTGCTCTCCTCACTCTGCTTTCTCGTCCAAGAAAACCAAGTCCCTGAGAGGTTAATTGGCTTGCCCAGTAGATTAAGTACATGAACAGGTATAAGTGGTAGAGGTATAATTTGATTCCTGAAAAGCTAGTGTCAAAGTCCATGTTTTTTTTTTTTTTCTGAGTTGGGGTCTCACTCTGTCACCCAGACTGGAGTGCAGTGGCCGCTCCCGGCCACCGCAGCCTCAACCTGCTGGGCTCCGGCGATCCTTCTGTCTCAGCCTTCCGAGTAGCCGGAATTACAGGCATGCGCTACCATGCCTGGCTGATTTTTGATTTATTGTAAGATGAAGTCTCACTGCCCAGGCGGGTCTC